GAAGAGAAGAGAAGAGAAGAGAAGAGAAGAGAAGAGAAGAGAAGAGAAGAGAAGAGAAGAGAAGAGAAGAGAAGAGAAGAGATGAGATGAGATGAGATGAGATGAGATGAGATTTGGCCTCTCCTAAATCAGGGAGTAAGGATATGGGTTATCAGAACACTCTACCTGGGCTAGTCATCAAAATAAGTCAAAATGAGACTTTTGCTACCCTTTGAGCAAAAAGGAGGTGGCTAAAAAATCAGAGGGTCGAACAGAAGGCAGTTCTCACAGCCTAATCTTGCAGACCAAGCTGAACAAGGATTATACAGAGCATACAAACCCAACCCGCCCCCCCCGAAAGTTTCCTATTTTCAAAACCACCATTGTTTTATTGGTGGATCAAGGCCTCACTTCTCCTTTCTTGTACTCCCTTGCAGTTACCACCCTCCACACCCAAACTGGACAGACCATTCATTAATTACTGGAAAAGCTATTCTGCCAACTACTTCAGTCCCTTGTTGCATGAATCAACCTTTTCCCCCGCCTCCTTCCTCTCTCTTTATTTTTAATTACATAAATGAACTCAAATGACGTTTTCTTCTTCAGAAACAGACTTGAACAGTTCACAGCTGCTTGCCGGACAGTGGCAGCTGGGAAAAATCCTTTTACGGTAATATGGCAAAAGCAATTCATTCGCTATTGAAGAGGAAATTTGAAGCAGAAATTGGGCCCCTTAATATTTCAGAACTAGGATGACAATGTTCTCCATAATTGGGGTTTCATAAGGAAAGGGGTAACTGGAATTAAGAATCCAAGTGGAAGGAGCAAAAATTTGTAGCTGTTCAACTTAATTCTGTTCAAAGATAAAGGAGAACAGGTAGACTCCTGTGGTCAAGAGATATGTTTTTTTTTTATAACATCTAATGCCGGGCAGGGCTCAAAGAAAATGGTGATTAAGATATTATCACGGCCAACAACAACTCTCCAAACAGTCTGAACTAAAATGATGCTTTTCTCTCTCTTCTTCAGTCAACCATCCCACCGATTCAGACACCGTGTGCAATTTGCAATATAGGGCACCAGTTCATTTATTTGTATTATTATTTATATGGCTGCCCATATTGCAGCAGTGACTCTGGGTGTCATACAAGGATTATAACAACAACTATAACATATAACCCATGATGTCCAAAGTTAGTAAACCTCATATCACAGAAACCACATCAGCAGCAGAGCTGGCTAACATCCTGGCCAAACGCCTGGGGAAACAGATCTTCAAAGCCTTGTGAAAGGTTAACAAGGTCAGGGCCATCTGTATTTCTGGAAGGATGCTGTTCCACATAGAGGATGGATGGGTGGATAGATATGGATATGAATGACACTGAAAATATATACTAGTTTTTAAAGTACTGTTAGCAATCTAGGCCAATTTCAAACAGTACTTCAGGAATACTTCAGGGAATTCTAGAATTGGAAGCTAGACTGGGAAACTGAAAAAAACATCCTTGTTAATAAGAAAACTACATGGATGTCTTGATGCTCTTAATACATCTTGATGGATGTCCAGAAGTTCATCTCAAAGGAGATTCAAAGAAAATGGCTGGGTTCATGAGTTAAAGCATAAAGAAGTTTCTTTGGTTCTGGCTTAGCATGAAGCCAGCAATTATGGTTTGTAAGTTTTGGCTTATGATTTAGCCTATTGTGCTTTATTCAACAATCCATGATCTTGGCAATGTGTAAATATGGTCAACCTATGTTACATACTTGGGCAAAAACTGGGTAACCCAAAGATCAAATTCTAAAATGCCAAACTTCCAGGTCTGAGAATAGTCATGCTAGGGATGAATTTTGGAAAATGCAGTCCCTCACATCTGGAGAACATCAGGATGGGGAATGTTGGACCTAATGGTAAAGAGAAACAGCCAGAAATCTGGGATCAGAAGAAACAGTACACAAAATGCTGGGCAGGGATGCTGAACTAAGCAGCATTAAAACACAGTGCTGCAGCTCTTAGAGATGAGAACAAGGTGACAAACAAGGTTTAATCAGATCAAACAAACATCCAGCTGCAGAGGGCAACGTGTCTGCTCTCTTTCAAGTTCTTTGATGTTTTTCTTCTCTTACAACTGACATGCTCTCCCCCATCCCAGAACTAGATTTTGACTTTGTCAATTAATTCAAAAGAAAGAAAAGCTATTCCTCAAAGAACATGGTGAAGATCTAAATCGCTCCAGGACTTCCACAACCCATCCCATTAAAAAAAGAAAGATCTGTGCCTCGCAGTGTCTGCTTCATATTGCTTCTAAGGCTGAACGACAGAAATCAAATTGCTCAAAGAGGCAATTCAGTATTATTGATTTGTAAAGGAAGAAGGCAGGAGTGTAACAAGATTAAATACACTCCCCCACACACATAAGCTGGAGCCTAAAAGCTAGGCTTTATTTGCCCCCCCAAGAGATAGATCGTATGGTCATAGAGCAGCACAAAAACAGTATATAAGAGAATTTGCAACTAATCCAATAAGGACAATCTTAGCAGTACAACATGACTAGACAAGATATTATAAACAGAGAAAAGGATTAAATACCTACAATGTCTTGCACGACTTTTGCACTGCAAAACTAAAACTAATTTAGGAGATTACAAATACAACTATCCCGCCCCCCCAAGAGTGCAAATACATATGTATAATACATGGAAAATGTGCAAATAAAGCCTTGCAAATATTTTTTTTAATCAAGTCACCTGCATTCTCACAATCCTTCCTACAAAAAACATTGGACCATTGGCCACCGGGATTAAAAACTGGAACAGATGAACAAGCAAGTAAGAGTGAGACTGATCTTCGAATACATTCTTCAATGTAAGTTATGAAACCTTTGGAATAAAAAGCCACTGTTTTCTGCATGTATGTAAGAAAGTCACTTATTCATGATATAGAAAGCTAGCTTATACAAAATCCTCCAAGCAGAATCCTCACCAGGAATATTTCTCTAGGTTTCAGACACAAATATTTTTCAATCTACCTGGAAACCCTGGAGCCTGAACTGAAGATTTCTGCAATCAGCATGTAAAACTGCTGTTCTTCTCCTGTGCTAGTCTGTTCTATGTGTGCAAAGTTTAAGCGGAATATCCTTTGATCTTAATCAGTTCTCTTACAGGTTGACTGTATAGTATTGTGCATTA